GGACTCCATCCCGGGACTCCGGGATCACGACCTGAGCCGAAGGCAGTCGCTTAACCAACTGAGCCACCCAGGCGCCCTACATGTAGACTTTTAAACAGTGCAAATTTAAATAATGCGAATAACTCGTCAGGAGCTATGAATTTTCAAGGTCCAGTGATTTAAAAGCTGTGTTCGCACTATTGCCCCACAGCATCACTTTGATGCATAGCAGAAACCCCAGCTGTCCTACCCTAGGGTCATGAGACATTAATTTAGGAGGTGTTTACTGAACAGCCACCGTGTGCCATATACCATTCTAGGGTCACAGACACAGATGAGGTTCCCACCCATGTGGCAGTTAAGATGGAGGGAGTGAGAGACACCAAACACACACACAAACAAGACGACTACGAGCAGCGGCAGGTGCTTTGCAGCAACCAACAAGAGTGATGGCTAGAAGGTTTATTGGAGTTTGCATGTCTCTGACGTGACATCAAAGCCGAGATTGGAATGACAAGGAGAAGTCAGGCAGGAAAAGAGAGGCTGAAGAGAGTAATAATTTAGGTAGAGGAAACGGCCAGTGCAAAGGCCGAGTGAGAACACACTTGGTTTTTTAAGAGCCCAGGATGCTATAGATTAAGGGGTGAGGGAAAGAGCCATGAGGTGAAGTTAGACAAGGGGGACCACCTCGAAGAGCCTTGTCAGTGAGGGAAATGACCCTTTGCCTGTGATGGGAACTGTGATTGGCAGAAGGATAGCCCCCCAAGATGTCTACGTGCTGATCCTCAGAGTAAGTTACAAGGGAAAAAGACCTCTGTGGGTGTGATTAAGGTTAAGGACCCTGAGATGGGGAGATGAGCCTGTATTACCCAGATGGGCCCTATCTAATCACACAAGTCCTTAAAAGTGGACAACTTCTTCCAGCTGTAGTCAGAGAGAGAGAGACGGTGACCTAGAGTCAGAGACACTATGCTGTTGGCTCCAAAGACTGAGAAAGAAAGTACAAGCCAAGGAATGCAGGTGGCTTCAACAGGCTGGAAAAGGCAAGGAAATAGGCTCTTCCCCTATTGCCTTCAGAAGGAAGGCAGTCCTTAGAACACCTTGATTTTAGCCCAGGGAGACCCATGTTGGACTTGTACCCTACAGAAGTGGAAGACAATAAATAAATTTGTGTTTTAAGCAGCTAAGTTAGTGGCGATTTGTTACAGTGGCAACAGAAAACCATTACAGGGAGCAACGGGGATTTTACAGAGTAGTTATCACATGATATGAATTGCATTTTTTTATTAGTGTTGATTTTTTTGATATGTAATTCACATACCATAAAATTCACCCTTAAAAGTATACATAAAATTCAGTGGCTATTAGTCAATTCATGATGTACAGCCATTACCACCATCTATTTCTACAACACTCTCCTCACCCCCAGGAGAAACCCCCTTCCCGTCAGCAGTCATTCCCCCTTTCCCCCTCTTCCTCCCACTGAGCAACCACTAATCTTTCCGTCTCTATAGTTTGTCTCTCCTGGACATTTCATACAAATGGAACCACACAGTATGGGTCCTTTTATGGCTTGCACCAATCCCATAGTATGTTTTCACAGTTCTTCCAAGTTCTTGTATACCAGCGCTTCATCCCTTTTTAGGGCCAAACAATATTCCATTGTATGGATATAATTTGTTCATCCATTTATCAACTGATGGACATTTGGGTTATTTCCACTTGGGGCTATTATGAATAACGCTACTATGAACATTTATGTGGAAGTGTTTGTGTGAGCACGTGTCTAGGGAGAGTTGCGGAGTCATACAGTAACTCTGTGTTTAACTTTCTGAGGAAATGCCAAACTTTTATAAAATGGCTGTACCATTTTCCATTCCCATCAGCAACTTATGAGGGTTCCAATTTCTCCACATCCTCACCAACACTTGCTATTGTCTTTTTTATTATAGCCACACCAGTGGATGTGAGGTAGTAGCTCACTGTGGTTTTGATTTGCTTTTCTCTAAAAACTAATGACACTAAACATCTTTTCATGTGTTTATCAGCCATTCTTCTTTGGGGAAATGTCTGTTTAAATCCTTTGCTCTTGGGTGCCTGGGTGGCTCAGTTGGTTAGGCGTCTGCCTTCGGCTCGGGTCATGATTCCAGGGTCCTCAGCAGGGAGCCTGCTTCTCCCTCAGCCTGCCTCTCCCCCTGCTTGTGTACTCTCTCTCTGACAATAATTTATTTAAAAAAATAAATCCTTTTTTTAATGGGGTTATTTGTCTTTTTACTGTTGAGTTGTAAGAGTTCCTTACATATTCTGGGTACTAGACTCTAATCAAATACCTATTATTTGAGCTGTCGAGTTGTCTTTTTACTTTCTTGATAGTGTCCTTTGAAAAACAGTTGTTTTTTTTTTAAAGATTTTATTTATTTATTTGACAGAGAGAGACACAGCAAGAGAGGGAACACAAGCAGGGGGAGTGGGAGAGGCAGAGGAGAAGCAGGCTACCCGCGGAGCAGGGAGCCCGATGTGGGGCTCGATCCCAGGGCCCTGGGATCACGACCCGGCTCCCAACAACTGAGTCACCCAGGTGGCCCGTGAATTACATTTTTAAAAGATCACTGTGGCTGGGCGCCTGGGTGGCTCAGTTGGTTAAGCGACTGCCTTCGGCTCAGGTCATGATCCTGGAGTCCCGGGATCGAGTCCCACATTGGGCTTCCTGCTCAGCAGGGAGTCTGCATCTCCCTCTGACCCTCTTCCCTCTCGTGCTTTCTATCTCTCATTCTCTCTCTCTCTGAAATAAATAAATAAAATCTTTAAAAAAAAAAAAAGATCACTGTGGCTGCTCTGAGACCAAAATGGAAGGCAAGGGGTGGAACCAGGAACACAGTCTAGAAGCTACTACAGCTGTAATAGTCCAAAATGCTGCTGGCCTAGTTTAGAGTTATGGTAATAGACATAAAAAGTAGATAGATCTTGGGCCACCTGGCTGGCTCAGTCAGTGGAGCGTTTGACTTGATCTCGACATCCTAAATTTGAGCCCCACATTGGGCATGAAGCCTACTTTAAAAAAAAGAAAGAAAAAAGTAGATAAATCTTTGACTTCACTGATGGAATCAACACGACCTTCTAAAAAAGTGGTGTGGGATTTTGGGGAAAGAGGAGATTCAAGGATAACTACTAGTTTTGGGCCTGAGCAACTAGATTAAAGGAGATACCATTAACTACTATACAGAAGACTGGAAGGCAGCCGGTTTAGGGAAGAAGGGTCTGGAAAGCAGAGCTGTGCTTTGATCAGGTTACACGTGAGATACCTATAAGCTATCCAAGAGAGGTATCAGGTAGGTATCAAGCCGGGCACATGGACATGGGACTCAAGGTTGGAGATAAGCAATATAAAGATGGGAAGTCCTGGGCATAGAGATGGCACTTTAAGCCACAAGACTTGAGGAAATCACCATAAGAGAGTGTAGAGAGGGGTCCATGTCCCAGGCCCAGGCCCATGGACTTATAGAAGTCAAGAAGAGAAGAGCCTACAGAAGAGACTGGGACTGAACTGCCATTGAGGAGGAACCAAGAAAAACAGTTTCAAGGAGAGAAGAGCAATCTGTGAAAAATGCTTCTTAGAGGGAAAGCAAGAAAAGAACCCAGGAGAGACCTTGGACTTAGCAACATGAAGGTCACTGGTGACTCAGCAGAGGGAAGAGAAGGTTGGGAAAGAATGGATGGAGGAGGGGAAGTGGAAGCAGCAACCACAAACTCTTTGATATTTGATCATAAAGGAGAGTAAAGAAATGCAGGAGGTGCTAATAGAAAAGGTGTGTATTAAGCAGATTTTTTATTTTCTGTTTTTTATTTATTTACCATGCTGCCCTCATGTTCACAAGAATTATTACTTCATCTCTGCTAGTCAGCTGGAGCGTTATGGACCTTCTTTCCTGCCTCACATTCATGTTATGTCTTCCTTCCTTCCTTCCTTCTTTCCTTCTTTCATCCTTCCTTCCCCCCCATCTTCCCTTTCTTTTCTTTAAGTATGCTCCATGCCCAGCAGCGTGGAGCCCAACACGGGGCTTGAACTCCTAACCCTGAGATCAAGACCTGAGCTGAGATCAGAGTCAGGCACTTAGGGTGCCTGGGTGGCTCAGTCACTGAGCGTCTGCCTTCGGCTCAGGTCGTGATCCCACGGTCCTGGGATCGAGTCCCACATCGGGCTCCCTGCTCCTTGGGAGCCTGCTTCTCCCTCTGCTTCTCTCTCGCTCATGAATAAATAAATAAAATCTTTAAAAAAAAAAAAAAAGAGTCGGGCACTTAACCAACTAAGTCACCCAGGCAAGTGCAAGACTCTGATGGGTGGTCTGTCCCACCCCGGATTCTTTACTCCCTCCCCTGTTCCCTTTAAAGCATTTACTATGGCTTGCCTGGGCATGAGGAAGGCCTCAACTTACTGTTTTCAGAAACTCCAGGCCCACACTGTACTTGGCA